CAAGGAGGCATTGAATAACATCTCAGGAATCTCTCAGAAGGAAGGCAGGGATGGATGGTGACAGGTCTTCTGTTGTTACCTGCACAGCATGGGCCATGTTTGTATTCCTCCCAGAAGAAAGAAGGGATTTCATCTGCACCAAGTGCAAGCTGGTCATCATTTTGGAAGAAAAAATTAGAGGACTTGAGGCCCAATTATCGACCCTATGTTCTATCAGAGAGGACAAAGACTTCCTTTATAGAAGGCAGCGTTTAATCCTGCAGGCACAGCAGGCTGAAGAGCCAGTCAGGGCAGTACAGGACAAGGAAGAAAACTGGCATCATGTAAACACTAGGGCTACATGCACAAAAACTTGCTGCCTGTCTACACTGGCGAGGAGTTCTTGCATAAGAACACTGATGTTCTAATGTGTGAAATCAGGGCTTCTTGCGCAAGAACTATGACGCTCCCACTCAGGAATAAGCCCTCTTGCGCAACTGTTCTTGTGTAGGCAGGCAACTCGAATTTCTTGTGCAAGAAAGCCTGCTGGTTATAATGGCCATTGGAGTTTTCTTGTGCAAGATAGTGTCCACACTGGGCATGGATGCTCTTGTGCAAAAGCACATCTCTTGAGCAAAGGCACATGCCAGTGTAGACACTTTCTTGCGCAAATTCTCTAATGCAAGATCTCTTGCGTTAAAGAGTATTTGCACAAAATCATGCGGAGGTAGACTTAGCATCAAAGAAGAAGAGCAACTCAGGTGTCCCTCATTCCTGTAGAGGTAAGTAACTGCTATCAGGCTCTCTCCACAGGCCCTGCAGGGGACAATGCTTTGGAAGGGGCCTCTCAGGGAAGATATCAGAAAGGAACATCATCTAGCGGAAGGCATGGGATGCGTAGTCCTGGTGAATTTCCTTTTCTGATGAACTGCTACTTAGACAATCGGTTCCCAGCCTATAACAGTGCTTGGAATTCTTCTGTCCCTACGGCAGGACTCTGCACTTGTCTTTGTTGAACCTCATCAGATTTCATTTGGCCCAATATTCTAATCTGTCCAGGTCACTTTTGACTCTATCCTTGCCCTCCACCATATCTACCTCTCCCCCTAGCTTAGTGTCATCTGTGAACTTGCTGAGGGTGCAATCCATCCCCTAATCCAGGTCATTAATAAAGATGTTGAACAAAACTGGTACCAGAACAGATCCATGGGGCACTCTGCTAGAAACCGACTGCAAACCTGACATCGAGTCATTGCTCACTAATGGTTTGGCCTGACAGTCTAGCCAGCTTTCTATCCATCTTACCGTCCATTTACCCAATCCATATTCCCATAACTTGCTGGCAAGAATATTGTGGGAGTCTGCATCAAAAGCTTTGCTAAAGTCAAGGTATATCACAGCCACTCACTTTCCTATATCCACAGAGCCAGTTACCTCATCATAGAAGCTAATCAGATTAATCAGGCACAACTTGCCCTTTGTGAATCCATGTTGACTCTTCCTGATCACTTTCCCCTCTTTCAAGTGCTTCAAAATGGATTCCTTGAGGATCCTCTCCATGATTTTTCCAGGGACTGAGGTGAGGCTGACTGGTCTGTAGTTTCCTAGATTGTCCTTCTTCCCTTTTTAAAAGATGGGCACTATATTTGCCTTTTTCTAATCATCGGGGATCTCTCCCAGTTTCCATGAGTCAACGATAAGGGCCAAAGTCTCTGCAAAGATATTTTCCAACTTCCTCAGTACCCTTGGATGCATTAGATACAGCCTAATGGATTTGAGTATGTTTAGCTTTTATAAATAGTTCCTAAATTGTTCTTTCTCGACCAAGGACTTTCCACTTCCTTCCCATACTGTGTTGCCTAGTGCATTTGTCTGGGAGCTGACCTTGTCTGTGAAGACACTCAAAGAAAGCATAGAGTACTTCAGCTTTTCCCACCTTATCTGTCACTAAGTTACGATCCTCATCCAGTAAGGACCCCACACACTCTCTAATCACCCTCTGTATTCCTAACATGCCTGTAGAAACCTTTCTTGTTATCCTTCATATGCCTTGCTAGCTTCAATTCCAATTGTGCTTTCCCCTTCCTGATGACTTCCCTGCATTCTTGAGCATTATATTTATACTCTTCTCTAATCATCCCTCCATGTTTCCACTACTTGTCTGCTTCCTTTTTGTGTTTAAGCTCACCAAAGATGTCCCCGGTAAGCCAATCTGGTCTCCTACCATGTTTGCTTTTCTTGCTGCACATCGGGATGGTCTCCTCCTAAGCCTTCAATAAAGCTTCTTTAAAATACTGCCAACTCTCCTGGATTCCTTTCCCCTTCATGTAAGCATCCCAGGGAATCCTGTCAGGCGTACAGCTAGTTCGGAATAGGAAGCCTAATCCAGCCACGGGCACGGAGTCCACACTAGCGGACATTTAAAAATGGCGGCACCTGGCAGCATGCAAATGAAGCCCGGGAAATTCAAATCCCGGGCTTCATTTGCAAGTTCGTATGACTACATTAACCACCCTCGTTCGAACTAGGGTGGTAGTGTAGACATACCCTCAGGTCCCCTTTCCCCTTTGCGCAGCATTTCCAGACGTTCGGGCATGACATAATATCACAGCCCAAGACTTTAAAAGTGTTTGGTGGCACATGGTAGGCTACGTCTACACTGGCCCCTTTTTTGGAAGGGGCATGCTAATTTTGAAAGTGGGAATAGGGAAATCCACGGGGGATTTAAATATCCCCCGCGGATTTAAATAAACATGTCCGCCGCTTTCTTTCTGGCTTGGGGAAAAGCCAGAAAAAAAGCGTCTAGACTGGCCCGATCCTCTTGAAAGTAGGAATAAGAGATCCTCCGGAAAAGGGCTTTATTCCGGAGGATCACGCCAGTCTAGACGCTTTTTTTCCGGCTTTTCCCCAAGCCGGAAAAAAAGCGGCGGACATGTTTATTTAAATCCGCGGGGGATATTTAAATCCCCCGTGGATTTCCCTATTCCCACTTTCAAAATTAGCATGCCCCTTCCAAAAAAGGGGCCAGTGTAGACGTAGCCTTAGTGAATGGGGGAGAGGAGGCATGGATTCATGCAGAGCAGTTCAAACCGAACCACAAAAATAACCCTAACCGTGATTAAGTACATGTTTCCTTTTATTCACTCATGATCCCTTTCTGGTTCAATCCACGTCCATGCCCTGAATTCCTTGGAGGCACAGTAGTCCTGCCTGGGTGTAAATCATACTGTGTCTCTCGTCTCCTGGCTTAGCTTTCCCACACAAACAAAACAGGCAAAGTATCTTATACAGTTCAAATGTTAGCACCATATCCCCATTGGTTCTTCTGGCCCCCTGCTAACACCCTTGCTAGCGACCTGAGTTTAACCCCTTAGACACCTGGTCACCTCCTATCCATCACATTATTATAAAAGAGCCAGCTGTATTATAGCATGGAAGCCGTGAAAGATTTTCATAGACCTTTGCTAAGCATATCCAGCTCATTTCAGTTAAATTCGTGAATCACCTCGCGCTGTACAAATCAATGATCCATCAATGCAAATCTTGATAGAGGAGACCGCAAACTATATATACCTCTGTCTACCCACCCCACAGGGGCCTGTGTCGGGGACTGCAGGAGTGTAGGGGGTGATTAGGGGAGCAATGGGCACCTACCTAGTTAAAAGGAGAGAGGAGGAATCAGGATTTCTTTACTGAAAAAATAAGATACAAAATTGTGGAGAAAGACCAAAAGTATCAGTCAGACTCGGATTTCACTCTTTTGCTGGTAAAGTTTAATTGCAAGAATATCCCGTTTCTGTCTGGGTGAGGAGGGCCCCTGTGAAAATATGTAGGCAGAGATTCGTAAAATTGCCTTGTGTTTTTGGGGCTAATTTTCTGATCTTTTAATTCATTCACATATTTTTACTGAGGTAGTGAGGGAACCAGGGTCTTCTGAGCTCGGAAAATTGTTGCCTTACATCTTGGCTGCGTCTAGATTGGCATGATTTTCCGGAAATGCTTTTAACTGAAAAGTTTTCCGTTAAAAGCTTTTTCGGAACAGAGTGTCTAGTTTGGCATGGACGCATTTCCGCAAAAGCCAATCTTGATGCGCTTTTCCGCAAAAAAGCCCCGATTGCCATTTTTGCGATCGGGGCTTTTTTACGGAAAACAAATCTGAGCTGTCTACACTGGCCCTTTTGTGCAAAAGCTTTGCACAAAAGGGACTTTTGCCCGAACGGGAGCAGCATAGTATTTCCGCAAGAAGCACTGATTTCTTACAGTAGGAAGTCAGTGCTTTTGCGGAAATTGAAGCGGCCAGTGTAGACAGCTGGCAAGTTTTTCCGGAAAAGCGGCTGATTTTCCGGAAAAACTGGCCCGTCTAGACACAGCCCTTCTGTATTTCATCCTATTTCAACATTGATATTGTAGTGATATCAGTAATGAGAAAGACATGGATTTCAATATTTCCTTGATTCTGCAAAGATGTATGACTGTGCAGGAAATGTCACATGAAAAGGCTTAAATTCCCAAACCCCCACCATTTTTTTAAACCCAGCTACAGGTCTGCATGGAAGCAAAATTTTTCACCAAATTTTCAGAGTTGTAATTGACAACAGAGGTTCCCAGTCAATGGAATTTAAATGTCATTGGATTAAGTGGGAGAGGAAAACACCCAGAACCACTCAAAAGATGCTAATCTCCTTGCAGAATTTGGGCACTTGTGTTCATGTTCGGACTAATGAAGCAGAGTGCTTCATTGAAATGTGTATGTTCACAAAAAATCTCCCTGAAGTATCAGGTTTGGTGTTAGAAAATGTGTCTTCACTATATGAAAGATGAATGTTCAGAAAGTAGTAGAGTGGATGAGTAGCAGAAGAAAGCAAGCAAGCAAGCAAGAAAGATGATGTAAGGACGATAAGGTGTGGCCCTGTTTTCCTGTTCTCAAGGACTCAAATATGCCAAGAAACAATATAATTTCATCTCCATTTTACTACATTTGGTCCTTCTCAGTCTATGGCTCTTTCCCAAAGCAACCAGTTTCAGAGTAGTTTTTTCAAGGACTCATTCACCTCCTTGTTTCTCAGCGAGTAGATGACAGGGTTGATCAAGGGTACCAAGACGGCATACAAGACAGAAATTACTTTGTGTAGGATCGCAGGAGGGTTGAGCATTGGAACCGCATAGATTGTAATTACACTTACATAGTAAACTGTGACCACACTGAGGTGGGAGGAGCAAGTGGAAAAGGCTTTTTGCCTCCCGGTGGTGGAAGGGATTCTGAGGATGTTGGTGATGATAAAAGTGTAGGATGCAAGGGTCAGTAGAAATTGCACAACTATAAATACAACAGAGAAAATTAATGCCAACAATGTCAGAGTTTGGGCATCACCACAGAATGGATCTTTCATGGGCGCAAAATCACAAAAGAAATGGTCAATTTCTGCGGGACCACAATATACTAATTGCAAAATGACAATGTGTAGTGAGATGCCAATCAGAATGCTGATAATCCAGCATATGGCCACTAGGTGGAAACAAGTCCTGCCATTCATCAGAGCAGCATAATGGAGAGGATGGCATATGGCTAAATACCGATCATAGCACATTGCCGTGAGCAGCAGAGACTCAGTATTGGACAGGATAACATAGAAATCGAATTGCACAATGCAGTTCTGCAGAGAAATGGTTCTGTCCCCAGTCACCAGACTGCCAATCAGCCTGGGGAGGGGGGAGGAGACGTAGCAGATCTCCACAGCGGACAAATTGGCCACGAAGTAGTACATGGGGGTGTGAAGATGCGGATCAGCCACCACTAGCACAGTGATGAGGAGGTTCCCAGCCACAGCCACAAGGTAGATCACTAGAAACCCCAGGAAGAGGAGGGGCTGCAGTTCAGGGACATCCACAAACCCGACAAGGATTAATTCCATGATGTGCGTTTGATTTCTTCTTTCCACTTTCTCCATAGCCTGAAAGTAGAAACAGAAATGTGTTAAATGTTCATGGACCACATGGTGTCAGGTTGTGCTATTGGCTATATGGCCAATAACCTTGAAGTGCTTCTTCACTCTACTAGAAAAAATGAAGTGGTCCATTAGCAGTGGAAAACTCATTTCATTAATTTGTTGAGCTGCCAATATAGGTGAGCAAAACTCATGGAAACCTTACGGAATTCCAGAAATGTCCTAACTATCTCCCTTACACTCTCTTGAACTTTAAGTAAAGACTTTTAGGCTGGGATTTTGAAATGTCTTCATGATATCACTATTGTATTTGCTCTCATAGACCTACATCTATACTACAAGCCTCTTTTGAAAGAGCGTCTAGACCACAAGCAGTACTTTCGAGAAAGCAAGCCTCTTTTTCAAAAGAGAGCACCCAGGCAGTCTGGATGCTCTCTGTCGAAAAAGCACAGTTTGCATTACATAGCGCCTTTTTTCAAAAGAGTACGTTCGAAGAAAGATGCTCTTCCTCGTAAAATGAGGTTTTCCGTGGTTGAAAAAAAATGGCACGTTCTTTTGGTTTACTTTCAAAAGAATGTGGCAGCAGTCTAGATGTAGGGGAATTTTTTTCGAAAAAAGGCCACTTTAAAAAAAAATCCCCTGTAGTCTAGACACACCCATAGACTTCCCCAGCAGCAACTCCTCCCCCTCCACACACACAGGCTGTGTCTACACTGCACCCCTTTTCCGGAAAAGGGATGCAGATGAGACAAGTCGGAATTGCAAATGAAGCGGGGGATTTAAATATCTCCCGCTTCATTTGTATAAACATGGCTGCTGCTTTTTTCCGGCTCGGGGCTTTGCCGGAGAAAAGCGCCATTCTAGATGGGATCTTTTGGAAAATAAAGACTTTTCAGAAAGGTCCCTTATTCCTGATTTTAAGAGGAATAAGGGATCTTTCGGAAAAGACTTTATTTTCCGAAAGATCCCGTCTAGAATGGCGCTTTTCTCCGGCAAAGCCCCGAGCCGGAAAAAAGCTGCAGCCATGTTTATACAAATGAAGCGGGGGATATTTAAATCCCCCGCTTCATTTGCAATTCCGACTTGTCTCATCTGCATCCCTTTTCCGGAAAAGGGGTGAAGTGTAGACACAGCCACACTGTTTAAACAGATGGGGGATAAGAGTCGGGAAGTTAATGTCTATGAGATAATGATATTAGAGGTGATAATATCATAGACATTGACCTCCCCCCCTCCTCATCCTCCCTCTGTTCTAAAATCTGATTTGTCTATTTTATATGTGTTCACTTTTTTTTATTGTATCCCTTTGGTATAGTTGGCCATTCCAATTTTCTTCCACAATTTGATCTGAGGAAGTGGGTTTGGCCCACGAAAGCTCATCACATAATAAACCATCTTGTTAGTCTTTAAAGTGCTGCATAGTTCTGTCTTTTGTTTCAGCAAGACCAGACTAACATGGCTACATCTCTATTACTATACACTGTTCCTTACATTCACAGCTACTTTGAATCTTTCTGTGTCTCTCACACACACGCACACACTCATAATGTCTCTATGTCTCTTCACCATGCATACACACGTCTCTTCCTCACACACACATACAGGCTCTCACATCCACACATTACCTCAGTATTGGTGCACAAAACAAAATTCTCTCCACACAGAAACAGAGGGGAAAAAAGCGCTTTTATTATATTTGTTGACTGCGCTATGCCTTTCACAGTTATCCTGCTCTCTTGTGCTTAATTTGAATTCTTTTCGTAGTGAGTTCTGAAATGCCCAACTTGGGTGGAGTATGAATCTCTATGTTAACATCTACAAAAATATTTATACCATAAATAGGGCTGTTGTTCTGTGGGAGGAACACATCCCCACATTACCTCCGTATTGGTGCACACAACAAAATTCTCTCTGCACAGAGACAGAGGAAAAGAAAGGCAATGCTGGTGTCAGGGGACAGGCTGAATGTGTGGGATGGCGAAGGAGGAGGTGGATAGCTGTATTGTGAAACACAGATGATCTCAGTTTAGGACCCCAGAGCTGTACAGCCTTTCTCTGGTCAAATCACTGGCCAGTTGGTACGTATTGCTGAGTTTGCCCTCCGTCAATGTGAAGAAGAATAAGAACATTTGTGCAAAGCAAGAGATATTTCCTCAGACACTTCACTTTAAAGGCACATTACATTAAACTACAAACAAGATTAACCAGAAACAAATGGATTTTAAGTCATTGTAAGGGATCCAAGCAGCTTATCCACAAATAAGCAACACCGGACGCTAAACAAAACACCCTGGTAACGTTGAGCGGGAAAGAACATTTCCTCACCCTGACGGAGGATGCCGGCAGAGGGGCAGGCTCTCATGGTGCAGGCGCCATTGGCTTTGCAGATCAGATTTCTCTTGTTTCGAGACACAGGCTGGAGTGTCCTTTAGTCTTTGTCGAGCACGTCCCCCCACTCATTCCGAGTTTCTCTTCCGTTTCCTCTTGTATGGGGAACGAAAAGCAGCCGATGAGCTCGCTCCCTGCCTTATGTAGGGTGAGGATGGGGCAGGACCCTTTCTGTTCAGACTTGATTCCCCGACAAGGGTGTGGGAAATGCAGAAGTCCCAAGATGGGGTCTGGCATCATTTGGCCTGGTCCCCTGCCCTGGGAGAGTCACAACAACCATTATTGGCGGACTCTGGAGTGTCTCTGGCAGCCAAACCCAGTGGGAGAGAAACTTCTCCTCAAGCCCTTTGATTCCCCTAATGGCCCATTAACATCTTCCCAACCCCCTTCCTCCAAAGGAAGCGTCTTGCTTAAGGGGCTCTCCCCAGGTGTAAGTACATCGCACAGGCAGACACATCACTTCCGCTGCAAACATGAGATGCGCATTCAGATCGCTCCGTCTGAATCAGAAAATCAGAATTCTTCCGATGTCACCTTAAATGACACAGTGGGGTGCGAGGCTTAGGGCAGGGTGTGTAGCACAGCAGTGAGGGCAAGGAGTTGGGAGGGGTGGGGGGCTCAGGGCATGGGGTTGGGAGCCTAGGAGTCCTTGCTGGGAGTGAGCAGTGGGAATGGGGCGGGGGGAGGGTGGCCCGTGGCTATAGGCGGACTCGACTGCCACCAGGCGCCCGATGATGATGTCAGTCCATTGACGGCTCTGCAGGCGTGGGTGCCAATCGAGCACTCTACCTGGGGCACCAGCTGCGGCAGCCGGCCTCAGGCCACTCCTGGGAGGACGGGGGTCAGGGATGTGAGTCAGGGCAGGGGGGTGGGTTTGTGGTTGGCTCAGGGCAGGGATCAGGGGATGCAGGAGTCAGGGCAGAAGGCTGTATGTGTGGAGGAGCGCAGGGTGTGCAGGGCAGGGCGTGGAGGGTTTTAGAAGGCAGGGTGGTGGTAGAGGGTCAAGGTGCCTGGTTGGTGGCACTCTGTGGCACACTGGGGATGCGTTTTTCCAGCTGGCAGCTTCTCCTGCAGGGTCGGGGCTGTGGTCCCAGTTGGTAGGTGCCTGGTGGGTGTGACCACCATGGCATAGCCTTGGCCAACAGACTCTTGTGGCCTGTGGCCTCTCCGGGGGTTAGGCTTAGGGGACTGGACTCAGCTGCTAGAGCTCTAGGGGCCAGCCCAGGCCTGCTGTGCTCCCCCACCCCCCATACACAGCCTGCAGGGTCGGGGGTGCAGGGTGCAGGGGCTGCCCCTGACCTGCAGCAACCACAATGCAGCCTTCAAGCTGTCTGTGGGTGGAGGGGTGGGGGGGCAGGCTCCAGGGCCACCTTCAGCCTGCAGTGGGCACTCCTATGGCCTGCAGAGTCTGTGGGCTCCCCTGGCCTGCAGCTCCCCCCTCCCGCGCATAGCCTGCAGGCTCTCTGGTGAGGAGGCTCTGGGGGTGACCTGCATCCTGCAGCGGCCCCCAGCAAGCTGCAGTCTGGCCTTGGAGGGAGCAGGCTCTGGAGGCCGACCCTGGCCCACAGTGGCCATGGACTGCAGCCTGTGGGGTGTGCAAGGCTCCAGGTGTCCATCCCAACCTGCAGTGCACCCCACCTTCGGGCCCTGCAGCCTGTGCACTTGGACATGAGGTACAGGCCTCCCGTGACCCACCCTAGGCCTGCAGCCCTTCCTGGGAAGGTGCGGAGAGGCTCTGAGGTCCTGTCCCAGCCTCCAGTGCCTCCCAGGGCTTCCAGCCTATAGGGCGCATGAGGTTCCAGGGCTGACTCTGGCTTGCAGGGGTCCCCCGTGGCCTGCTGCCTGTTTGGGCTGGAGGGGATGAAGATCCGAGGGCTGACCCTGGCCT